TGTAGATACACACTGTATCGAACTGGGTAAACATCGTATGTGTTGATTTATTTTCTACATTAGTCTTTCACTCTAAACTAATATGCTTTCTAACTGGATGGCTGACAATTCACGTCTCTGAATCAGTCAGTCAAGTTTATCAGTTGATTATCTCTAATAATAATCTTATACTGAGGAAATGCAAAATTACATGTGGTATCAGAGCTTTTAAGTCTACATAGTCACTTGATCCTTACGGGAAGAAGTTTTTGCATTGTTCTCTCTTTAAGAAGCTGTTTATTTGGTTGTTTGTTGGCTGTTTGACTACTCTCTATGTGTGTGTTTTGGCTGGTTGTCTTTTGATTGAGGATGGATGCAAGTATGAAACGACCACAATTGGATGGTCACAACTATTCTTTCTGGAAGGCTCGAATGGAGATTTACCTTCAAGCACAAGGTACCAAAGTTTATCGTACTGTCCTCACTGGATGGAGTCCTCCGACAGTGTAGAATGCTGATGGATCTGCTGAGGTCAAACCTATGGAGACATGGACTGAAGATGAGATGTCGTCCTCTGATCTGAATAATAAAGCACTGAATTCTATTCTAGGATCTCTACATGAATCAATCTTTACCTTGGTCACAGGGATAAAAGAGGCAAAACGAGTATGGGAAATTCTTGAAACTAGATTCGAGGGTACCAGTGATGTCAAGCAGTCAAAGCTTTAGATGGTTCTATCAGAGTTTGAAGCCCTCAGGATGAGTGAAGAGGAAACTATCTCTAACTTTCATAGTCGGGTTCAGAATTTGATGAACAGAGCTTCAGTACTTGGTGAACCATTTACTGATGAAAGAGTTGTCAAGAAGATCCTTCGCTCTCTGCCCAAACGATTCCAAATGAAAGTGACTGCAATTCAGGAAAATACAGGCTGGGAGAAGAAGAGTGTGGGAGAACTTATGGGCAATCTACATACTTATGAACTTAAAGTGCTGGCCAATAATGATCCTGCAGTCAGCAGAAAAGGCAAGTCAGTGGCTTTTATTGCTGAAGCTGATTGAGAATCTGACACAGATGACATAGATGATGAAGCTTTAGCCTTGCTAACAAAAAAATTCAAGAAAATACTGAAAGGTTTCAATCGAAGAAGTCAAGGACAACCTAATATGACACAATACAAAAGTGGAAACTCCTCATATCAGAAAACAGAACCGTCCTCCTTCACACAGAATAGTTAGTCCCAGATTGGCACAGTTAGAACTCTAAATCGATCAGTGCAATGTCGAGAGTGTGAAGGATTCAGACATATACAATCTGAATGTGCAACATATCTCAAAAGGAAGAAAGCTATGTCTGTGGCGACCCTAAGTGATGATGAAGAGGAAGCAGCGGATGACCAGTCAGATGAAAATGTTGGAAACTTTGTAGCCTTCTTCACAGCTACAGAGAATCAATCAGAAGAGAATGAAACTGATGAAGAATCGTACATATCATCAGATGACTTTGAAGAGAGACATATTCAGCTAGAAATGGAATTTGCTAAACTAGTTGGAAGTTGGGAACAACTGGTGAAAATCAACAAGAATCTGAATGAAGAACTGAAACAGAGAGATGAACTCCTGAAGAAACTAAACACTGAATTAGTCACAAAAAAAGATCTTATTACTCAGATAAGATTTTGAGAGGGAAAGCTGATAAAAGAACTGGAGGACCTGAAGAAGAACATCAAGATGATGGATACCACTTCTACCTTAGACAAAATTCTGGACTCTGGTCGAAATCCTAATGATAAAAAGGGACTCGGGTTTGAACGAGGACAGTTTTCAAAGACAGCTCCTCTGTTTATCAAAGAAGGTACTTCAGTTGGCAACTCAGTTCACAGTTATGAACAAGGTCAATCATCAAGGCCAATTCAGCTCAATCAGAAAGGAAGCATGCACACTCGGATTACTGAGGCTGAATCTGGCAGAGTCAAACTTCAATCTCAGTACTCAAAGTTCAAGACTAAGTTTGTTAAAGTTAGAAAATATGTACCCATCTATCACTACTGTCAAACAAAAGGGCACACCCGACCTGAATGTTACTTTTTCTACATAGATCAGAGGAAGGAGAAATATCAGAATAAGTCTATTACTCCTTTCACAAGACAGGTTTGGGTCAGGAAATCAGAACTAATCTGCTATCCCACAATCGTTCTGACCGCCTCTATGACTGAAGCAAGATGGTATTTCGACAATGGATGCTCCAGACATATGACTGGGAATGTCAAGTGTCTCATGGCTGTTCAACCTAGCAGTGGATCTGTTACGTATGGGGACGGACAAAAGGGAAATATAGTTGGTAAAGGCACCTTAAATGTGCCAAGCTTGCCACATCTAGACGAAGTTCTCTTATTCAGTGGCCTGGAAGCAAATCTTATTAGCATTAGTCAGCTGTGTGATCAGAATTGGAATGTATGCTTCAATCGAGACTGCTGCAGAGTCCGTGATAAAGCAGATCAAGTGGTAATGGAAGGAACACGCTCTTCTGATAATTTCTATGTTTTGTCAAATGAAACTACTTGTCTAATATCTAAAACAGACGAATCAAAACTGTGGCATCGACGGTTGGGACACATAAATTTCAGAGATATGGACAAAATGATCAAATTAGATGCTGTACGTGGGATACCTAAGCTCAAAACAGAACAGGAAGGAGTTTGTGGTGCGTGTGCCATTGGAAAGAAAATAAGAGCCCCTCACAAAGCAGTAAAGATAATTACTACTGAGAGATGTTTAGAACTGGTTCATATAGACCTTATGGGGCCAACTCAGATTGAAAGCATTGGCGGAAAGAAATACATCTTTGTGTGTGTGGATGATTTCTCTCGGTTCAGTTGGGTATATTTTCTGAGAGAAAAATCTAAGGCGTTTAATGCCTTTAAAACTCTGTGCATAAGAGTACAAAAAGAAAAGGACGAGCCCATTATAAAAATCCAAAGGTTGAGAAGTGATCATGAAAAAGAGTTTGACAACTCCTTATACTCAGAATTCTGTTCAGAAAATGGGATAGCTCATGAGTTCTCTGCTCCTCGAACAGCACAACAGAATGGTGTTGTGGAAAGAAAGAATCGGACCTTGCAAGAAATGGCAAGAGTAATGTTACTGATGTTATCACATCTTTGCTTGTTTTTATAGTTATTTTGAATCACCTCAGTATTTAAGTTCTTTAATTTTGCTTATTTAATACATATTTTCCTTGCTATTATCATTTAATTATGGTTCACACTTGTTTTGAATGTTTTACGGTGTTTGTTAGTGTTTTTGAACCATTTTAGGTCAAAGATATGAGCAAGGGAAGTTCAAGGATGAGTTTTGAGCAATTTTGGACGAGTTCGGGGCCCAGTGGACTCGACGCGTCGAGCCCTTGGCTCGACGCGTCGAAATTTTCCAGTAGCTAACTAATTTGCGCACAGGAAGTCTCGACGCGTGGAGAAAATTCTCGACGCGTCGAGAGAATAGGCGTCTATTTCTGGGATAAAAACAGACGCCTAAAGTGGCGCGGATATAAAAACAGACGCCTAAAGTGGCGCGGATATAAAAACAGACGCTTAAAGTGGCGCAGCTGGGCGAAATTCAATACAAGCGCGAGATCTCTTTTCCTAATATCAATTGCGCGGATTTCAAGGCTCATATCTCCATATTAAAAGTTAGCAATTCAAGGAATCTTCCAAATTCTAAATATCATTAAAGACGACAATTTCTTTATTTAAATATAGGAATTAGAATTTGAGTCCAATTTGGTACAAGATTCCTATTTCATCTTAACTTTGTACCCACTATAAAATCCCTCCTTCCTCAACCCTAGAGGAGGACCGAGACCGAGACCGAGAGAATTCAGAGATTCTTGGAGACAAGAAGGAGAGAAATCAAGAGCCACAAGTTGTCTTGGAAAGCAAGAAGAAGACTAGGGAGATTTGGGAAAATCGTCTGGTTAATTCTTGTACTCTTTTGATGATTTGTAATTCTTTATTTATATTTGCTATGTATAATTTAGTCATGCTTGGCTAAATTCTTTAGAGATTCTTGGGTAAAAGTGTTTATGAACCTATGTGCCTGAGTTCTCAGTTTCTTTAATATATTATTATTTGGGTTTAATACTTGTGTTGCAATCGTGATAATATTGTTTGATGCTTGTAATTAATGGCCATAGTTACTAGCTTCATAGCCATGTTTGTGTCACCAATGGGAGTTGGGGCATAAATTAGGGCACACACGATTGCACCTAATGGTTGGTCCTTGGGAAAGGGGAACTTATTAGGGGAAGTTTATTCTAGATTGTTGCCAATCGGGAGATGGTAGTAATTAGGAATAATTGAATGCTGATCTTTGATCTTATTGGGTGTTTAAGCCATGGGAGTGGAAATTCACTAGGAATAGAGATTACGGGAGTAATTCGATTCCACTTTGCATTCCCACACAAATCTTAATTCCAAACTAAATATTGCAAACGATAATTGGCACTAGGTGATTAAATACTTGAATCCCATGAATCTCAACTTCTCTCTAATTGTTTTCAAAATCCTGAACCTCTGTTTTATTTTTTATTTATTTTATGCCAATCAATCATCTAAGTAATTGTTAGGATTAGCTCTAATGAATAAGTTAGTAACTAGTGCTTGATACAACCACTTCCCTGTGGATCGATAACTCGTACTCCGAGAATTATTTGTTTGCAAATATACTACGCATCAGTTACACGCATCACATCTGCCACAATGTTTCTGGGCTGAAGCAGTGCACACAGCGTGTCATACAGTCAATAGAGTCTATCTCAGACCAGGTACGTCTCAGACACCATATGCGATATGGAAAGGAAAGAAGCCTAACTTGAAGTACTTTCATGTGTTTGGAACAAGATGTTATGTTCTAATTGATAGGGAACAAAGAGGAAAGTTCGAACACAAGAGTGATGAGGGCATTTTTCTTGGATACTCTCCAAACAGTCGAGCTTATAGGATCTACAACAAAAGAACTCAATCGTCATGGAATCAGTGAATGTTGTTATAGATGATAATCCAGAAGAATCAGATGAAACATATGTGATTGATCCAGCGACAGATCTCCCTATCAGTGATCCGTCAAAAACATCTGAGACAACCAAACTGTCTGACACACATGAATTGTCAGAAGAAGATAAAGAAAGCCCCGAACAGGAAAACTTACTCTCTGATGGTGATGGAAAGAATAAGCCCACCAGAACTCAGAAAAATCATCCATCAGACAACATAATTGGTGATCCAACAGATGAAATGCACACCAGAAGCCGGATGAGAAGCAATCTGATAGAAATAGCCGGCTTTTCCTATTACACCTTTGTTAAAGCCACTAGAAGTCATGTTACTATAGCTCAGACTTATGTAGATGATATTGTTTTTGGATCTACTCTACAGAAGTATACTGATGACTTAGTGAAAGTCATGAAAGAAGAATTTGAAATGTCCATGGTTGGTCAACTGACTTACTTCCTAGGACTTCAAGTTAAACAGAGTTCTGAAGGATACTTTATCTCACAAGAAAAGTATGCTAAGAATTTGGTCAAGACGTTCGATCTGGAATCATGCAAAACACCCAGGACTCCTATTTCCACCTCCACAAAGATATCAAAAGATGATACTGGTCCTTCAGTTGATTCCACAGTCTATCGAAGTCTGATTGGAAGTCTGCTCTATCTAACTGCCAGTCGACCATACGTAATGTTCAGTGTTGGAATGTGTGCAAGATATCAATCTTATCCCAAAGAGTCACATTTGATAGCTGCTAAACGGATCTTGAAATATATCAAGGGTACAATTCAATATGGTATATGGTATTCCAAGGACAGTGAACTAAGTCTGATTGCATACTGTGATGCTGATTAGGCAGGAAATATTGACGACAGAAAAAGTACATCAGGTGGGTGCTTCTTTGTTGGTAAGAATTTAGTATCATGGCTAAGCAAGAAAACGAATTCAATATCTCTAAGTACAGCTGAGGCAGAATACATAGCAGGTGGAGGATGTTGCACCCAACTGGTCTGGATAAAGCAAATGCTTCTAGATTATGGTTTCACTCAAAGGACTATGATACTTTACTGTGACAATGTCAGTGCAATAAACATTTCAAAGAATCCAGTTCAACATTCCAGGACTAAGCATATTGATATAAGGCATCGCTATATCAGAGAATTGGTAGATTCAAAGGAGATAGAGTTGGAATATATTCAAACAGATAAGCAATTGGCTGACATACTGACTAAACCTCTAGACGCAAATCGGTTTGAGATTCTCAGATCTGCTATGGGGATCTGTAGGATTGATTAGTAAGGCAGAACGGTAACATAGAAGGAGAGTGTATGATGTTCTCGATCTTGGGTCAAAATTACATCCTTGACTTCCTTTTTAATCTCTCTTCTGTTTTTGTTAAGATAATATCTTAACCTTGATTACCAAAATTAAATTGCCTCATTCAAATTTCAAATCTTCCATTTTATCCCTGAGAAGGAGCTATACCGTTGCGTCAATCACATCACAGCTGCATGCATTCTGACAGCCGCATTGAATAGTGTTCATCACCCTTGGGATTATATATTTCATCTAATCGATATTAGTGGAAGAAGAGTCCTAAACACTATTCTGTTCTTTGTTAATCCTCTACTAGTTCTCTGCCTAGGGTTTTTCTATTCTCTTCCCCAAATCTCACAAATATGGCCTATGCAGTAAGGAATATCATTATCAAGTTGGGAAGGAAAACCCACACACCAGAAAATGCAACGAAGCATGTGAAAACACTCCTCCAACTTCCAATGAAGAAGAAGTTGAAACTGGACTCTGCTCTCCGCGATGAAATCATAGTCACGGTGATTTCAGACTACCTTGAGTTTTATGCGGACTGGATGGATGATGATACAAGCAATCTTTTTATGCTGGCCTCAGAAGCAAGTGATGATGTTAGCCCTGCCTCCATTGATGAACCTGAAGATGGAAACCGAGCCGGGGCTTTCCTCCAATATTTTGCACAAAGAGCTCTGGAATCGGAGGAAGTCTCGCGTCGAATGGCAGAAGCTCGCCCTCTCTACCTTCAAGCTACACAGGAAGAAGCCAAACATCGTCTTGAGATTCTACGAAAAAGGTCCAATACTTCTAAAACTCCGATTGAGATATCTCCTGATAAGCCTTCTGAGTTACTTTCTGATGATGTTGAGTCTGTTCTACCTGTTGAAAAATCTGATAATGAAAATACGCTACTGTCTGCTAAGTCTTCTATGTCTGATGATCTACACAAGTTATCTTCTCAAAAATTTGAGTCTGTAAAAATGTTCTTAATAGTGAGTCTGGGGAAAAAGTTTAACAATCTGATAAGGTAGATAATTTGAGTCTGGTTATTTATTCTGCTGATGTTGAGAGATCTGCACTTTCTGTTGTCATGCGTCTGCTGTTGATAAGCCCACTGTGGAGGATTGCCCAGTGGATGTCTCACGCAAGTTTTCTACTGAGATTACTGCTGAACTATCTATGAGCTCTCATCCTTCTAATTCGATTGATGGTGTTCCTGTCTATGCATCCACTACCTTGGCTGAAAGTCTTGATCATATTCGACACTTTGCGGGTTTACCCTCTACCTCTGTGCCTGAACCATACAGAGTCATTCATCTTAATGATCCCTCTGTGCAGATAAACAGTGATGATGAGAAAATTCTGGGAAGTTTACGGTCCACAAGCCCCATCCTCTGATCCCATTGGGTCCCTTACAGTGGAAGAGACGGCACATCCAGATTACACTACCTTCAGAATTAGAGAGGTTTCCAAACTTCTTGCATCTTCATCTGCTCCTGTGTCTGAGACAAGCAACTCTGTTTCTCCGAGTCCCACTGAACATTCTCTTGCTAGAGAAAGAAGAAAGTCCAAATGCAAAGGTGTCCCAGAAAAGGTGGCTGCGGAAACTGGTGATGATAATATTGAATCTGTTCAACCAGAGAAAAGACGAAGATCAGCCGAGTCAGAGAAGGCTGAAAGTGACCCACCAATCCAGCAAGTGTTTAAAACCTTGAGATCGTCAGTCAAGAATAAGGCTCCTGCAATTGTTTCAACCACTACAACCAGAAAAATGAAAGCTACAACAAGGTCAAGAGGAAGGAGTGTCACTCCCGATTTACAAACTACTTATGACAGTCCTGATACCTCCACTTACAAGCCACAATTTGTTTCTGCAACAGCTCAAGGCAAGTGGTCTACAATGGTGAGACGAGAGCTAATTGTTCAGAGATCAGTTGATGAGAATCAATTGAATTCAGTTTGTGATGTTTTACCTCTGCTGAGTGAGGTTGGCCTACTGAAGACTATAACATCCATTTGTCCTTTCTCAAAGCTGTTAACCTACGAGTTCTACTGCAATCTGAATGAAGAAATTGACAACCTTACTGGGACGCGGTGCCAACATATTTTCATTAGAGGGCAGTGGTATGTGTTCGGCCTAGACACGATTAATGAGTACTATGGTTTGAAGGCAGTCGAAGGTGAAGAAATTACAGACTGGGATTTGTTTGCAAAGACACTCACTGGTGGTCAGACTCCAGTTTGGCCTACAGGAGATCTTGACACCTTGTCAAGCTCAATTTTTACCTCCAAGTATGTTATCTTGCACCGCATTGCACTGCACAATTGGCTCCCATCAACGCACTTTCATACTGTTGGGAAGCAACTAGCTGCTCTTCTGTTCAGAATCGGCACCAAGATGTCAATTGATCTGGGAAAATGGATTTTCTATCATATTATCACCCTGATTCATCCAAGGGAACAGAAGGTAAGACTTCCTTATCCTAATCTCATCTTTGGAGTTCTGACGTCACAGGGCCTGGTACCAATGCAAAGTGAGATTATTACTCCGTCTCTTCTGTATACTGTTGATCCGTGACTGTTGATCGGCAAACATATCCGGGATGTTTCACCAGTTAATGCTCCTCCATCCTCTGAAGCTGACACTACTGTTGAGGATTCGCCACATGCTAAAGATGTGCAGCTGTCCCTACGGCTGAAGGCTCGAGTATCTGAGCTAGAGACTGTGAATGACATTATCACGAATCAGCTTAATGCAGCCCGTACTGAACTTATGACTGTTTTGCTTCGATTGAGCTTGACTGAGTCTGCTGCTGCTAAGAATGTGAAGTCTGAAAGTGAAGGTCCCTCAAATGCTTAATGTGTCCTTTGTCTTTCTTTGGCAAAAAGGGGGAGTGCCTAAACTCAGGGGGAGTTTTTGTGTTGTGATTGTTAGTATCTTCTGGCATTGTCTGAGCGTGTTTTTGTGATGGACTTATGTTTTGTGAAGAATTGCCCTATTACTTGTGTTTATCCAGCACGGCTTGTGTGCTGATGTTTTTATGGGTTGTATTTCAGACATTATTCCCTTTATGCGACAGTTGTTACTCTTCTATATCTTTAGCTAAAAGTTCATTTCCTAGTCAGGTTGTTTGGCCAAATAATAGCCAAATGGGGAGTTTGTTAGTGTTTTATTTTGTTCAAAACCCCAACATATAATTGACAATATTATTATGGCAAATTAAGATAGGGTTTAGCTTGGTGTCTGTTTACTCTTATAGAAGACTGATTGATCAGTTTTATCACCAGACGCACTGCCACTGAAGATCTGTGAAAGGGAGATGTTTCAAAAATGCTGAACGCGGTTTGTGAAGACAGTTTTGGAAAGAATATCAGCAGATCAGCTTGGAAGGTATGGACCGAATCTGAAAGATTTTATTCTTCACAAAATTACGTCCTACCATCTACAATCAAAGATATTTTTGGAGAGTGTTCTTACCAAGGAAGTATAAGTACCTTCATTCGATCAAGGATTAGGGTTACGTGTTTAAGAAGACAAAAACACTCAATGCTATACAGGAACACATATCTTTGATTATCATGTCTCTTCTCAAGATATTAAGTTCGTGGTGATTATGATGAAGAACTTGAGAAGAACTAACGTTGCTTAATCGAAAGGACGCGAAGATCACTCAGTTGTGGGAACAACGTGGAACTGCGTCATTGAAGTGGACTGCATCTGAGTTAGCTCTCCAATTGAAGGGATTTCATTGGACTTCTGCATGCGTGGCTCTCCGACTTCAACAATCCACTAAACCTTTATAGACTGGGTACGTACCTTGTGTGGGGCACTTGGGTGAGATTGTTGTTTCTCTACCTTTGTACATTGGATTATGAGTTAATGGATTGGACGCCTCGGTGATCGTTCTCCAGATGTAGATACACACTGTATCGAACTGGGTAAACATCGTATGTGTTGATTTATTTTCTGCATTAGTCTTTCACTCTAAACTAATATGCTTTCTAACTGGATGGCTAACAATTCACGTCTCTGAATCAGTCAGTCCAGTATATCAGTTGATTATCACTAATAATAATCTTATAATGAGGAAATGCAAAATTACATGTGGTATCAGAGCTTTTAAGTCTACATAGTGACTTGATCCTTACGGGAAGAACTTTTTGCATTGTTCTCTCTTTAAGAAGCTGTTTATTTGGTTGTCTGTTGGCTGTTTGACTGCTCTGTGTGTGTGTGTTTTGGCGGATTGTCTTTTGATTGAGGATGGATGCAAGTATGAAATGACAAGAATTAGATGGTCACAACTATTCTTTCTGGAAGGCTCGAATGGAGATTTACCTTCAAGCACAAGGTACCAGAGTTTATCATACTGTCCTCACTGGATGGAGTCCTCCGACAGTTCAGAATGCTGATGGATCTGCTGAGGTCAAACCTATGGAGACATGGACTGAAGATGAGATGTCGTCCTCTGATCTGAATAATAAAGCACTGAATTCTATTGTAGGATCTCTACATGAATCAGTCTTTACCTTGGTCACAGGGATAAAAGAGGCAAAACGAGTATAGGAAATTCTTGAAACCAGATTCGAGGGTACTAGTGATGTTAAGCAGTCAAAGCTTCAGATGGTTCTATCAGAGTTTGAAGCCCTCAGGATGAGTGAAGAGGAAACTATATCTAACTTTCATAGTCGGGTTCAGAATTTGATGAATAGAGCTTCAGTACTTGGTGAACCATTTACTGATGAAATAGTTGTCAAGAAGATCCTTCGCTCTCTGCCCAAACGATTCCAAATGAAAGTGACTGCAATTCAAGAAAACACAGGCTTGGAGAAGAAGAGAGTGGGAGAACTTATGGGCAATCTACATACTTATGAACTTCAAGTGCTGGCCGATGATGATCCTGTAGTCAGCAGAAAAGGCATGTCTGTGGCTTTTATTGCTGAAGCTGATTGAGAATCTGACACAGATGACATAGAAGATGAAGCTTTAG